AAATAGACAGTAAATAAATGAATCTCCCTCTTCCCCTCAGCAAAGTGATTTTTTTAAAAAAATGTGTTTTTACCCTCCCACCAAATATGAGATCTGAACAAACCTTGCTCTAAAAGGTTTTTTTTATTTTTTATTGTTTGTTTGCCAGTGATACAATACCTTAATTCAGTATTACTTTTCCATTCGCCTTGCATTCTGATCTCACTTCAAATTTTTAAAGAAAGGTAGAAATTAAAGTTAAAGGACTCAAGGAGGTAAATGGAGATGACGGTGCGCGGCTAATTGTCTTCTGTTACTCTTTTCTTAGTAAATTCTCCTTTCAACTTCTTGCCTCCAAGAATGTTTCCTTCTCTCTGTCTGTGTTTCTGTCTTCCTACCTCCCTCTCTAGGAGGAAAAAAAAAAAAAAGCTGCGTTTCATTTCGGTACCTGCAACTGCGGAAACTGAATCCATGTACAGTAAGCAATCACTCTAGCTGAAAAACAGAGAAGAAAGCACAATTGTAAGCCATGAGCTATATTTTTGGTTCAATCACTTTCACTGCAAAAACAGGTCCATTTATTCTGGTTTTGGTGAGTAGCAGGGAAATTTGATCCACCTTAGTGATGCTTCAAGAATCTGTCCTTGCCTTCTATTTTCATGCTCAGTCCTCAAACTCGCCCCACTGTTTCTCATCTGAAACAGATGTCCTGCTTAACGAGATGCACGTCTCCTACTCGCTTTCACCCTTCTGCCCCTGTGAACAGATGAGCTCACAACCCTCTCTTCTCTCGCCCTCGAGCTAACTCAAGTGCACACAGAACAGCAGAGCAGCCCTGTCTTAGCTGATTAGAGTCTGGCTGCTGACTAGGTTGCATTTCTTGAAAGACCCGGGACAATTCACGTTGCCGGGGCCTGTCTCTCACGCAGCTTTGTGCCCCAAGAGCCACTTTTCAAAATCTCTTAACTTCTTTTCCTGGCTAGACCGAGAAAGGAAGTTCAGGGGAATCCTTAACGTGGTTAATTATAAAGTTGATGCTGGAAACCAAGAGACGCTCAGGAACCAAGGGTACCCACCTTCACCCCAGTGGTGGCAGGTGCCAGGGTGTGGCTGCAGTTGTCTCCCTTTTCTCTTCCAGCAGAAGGAGCCACCTCGAGAGAGAGAGGG